ATAGCAGAGCAGGCTTCCTTCTTTAATATTTCCAGGTGGTTCTTGCTTCCACATTGATTTTTCTCACACTGTTCCCTGTATCAGCTATCTGAAGCTAAATTTCTCTCTTTCTCCCTGCCTTTCTCCTTCTCTCTGCATCTCTCTGCTTTCCTGCACGCCTCGGTGACTGTGCAGCTCCACCCCACCTCACCCTGTGCACACTCTCTTTCTCTCGCTTCTCCCGTGCATCCCTCTGGATCTTAGAGATGAGTAGCTCTCTTGGCAGATTCACAGATGTCAAATAATATATTTGGGCTCTAAACTCAGAGATTAATTGTCTGGTGTCTACCTTGGTACTATGTTGATTTTATTCATCTTTGGCATCCCTGCCTGCTGCTTTCTTACCCTGCAGGTCTGAAATGGTCACCTTAACATGCATATCTTTTATAAAGCACTGTGCAGCCGTATTCTCTGCAATGGCCTACTTATTTTCTTGGAGGGAATTAGCAGACTTGAGGGGTAGGAAGAAAGGGGGTCATGAGGTTGGCTTTCCATGTCTCAGGCTTCAGGCAGCCATCTCACATTATCCCCTCAGCCAAGAGGATTCCTAACCTCCGTGTGTGTGCGTGTGTGGGGGTTGTGACACTGCCCTTCAGCTGTATTGTTCATCTTGTAGCTTTTATTAATTCACTGAAATCCCCAAGAACTGTGTTAGGGTTTTGTAGCAGTCTGATGAACATGAGGCTTAGCTGCTTGTTGTTTTATTCGCCTAATCTACCCACAATTACCAAAAAGCCATGTTAAAAAATTATGTGCAATAAATATTGAGCAGGTAGGACCTGTGGGTATATGCCAGCTTGAGATAGCTCATATTAAAAATGTATAGAAACATATACTTACAGATAAAAGGTATTTACATATGACTCCACATCCATTTTGTTGAAGTTTTAAGAAGGTTGTGGTTTTTAAAATGCATTTGGATGTCTTTTTCTACCTGAAGAAAAACGTTTGCTTTTTACATGATAAACAGCAGTGGAAATGTTCACAGGACAATGGAAAAGCCCCAAAGGAAGTAAAGACAGTTTGCTGGGAACTACCTGATGTGAGCTACTTTCCTTTGTTCTGTGGGTATTATATTTTTTGCTTGTTACCTGGAGCTGCAGAGCGCCAGATCTTGGACTTTGTGCATTCTGGTCCAGAGTCCCAAGGTCAGGAAGAGGATCTTGTCCAGCTGTCCTCCTGTCACCGCCAGCTCTCTGCTGAAGGCAGGCTAAAATGCAAATACCCTCACTTTTAACATTTAGCTGTGCCACTGACTGCCTCCCTGCACAGTATTCTCTGCTCACCTGTGGAATCCCCTGACTTTCCTCTGGCATCAAGAAAAGTGTGAAACACTGATTTTTTTTCAGTCTGAGACTCAGCTCTCCCAGCCGCCAGGGCAGCCATGGGACCTCACTGCACAGAGCTTGAGAAAGGAAAGCTGCCTGTGTGCAGCCTCCTGTTCGCTCACAGGGAGGCACACACAAGGCAGGAACACAGTAAATTGTTCAAAATGCTGACTTTGCAAAGGAGAGGGAAATTATTTTACCAATTAAATATTCACTATGCTCTTGTATATGACAGCAGTAGGTTTATAAATACATGGATGTCTTGCTGTCTGGTAGGAGGTTCCATGGAGGGAACCATTCTCTTCCTTGTGAATGTGATGATCTGACATCTGCATGCACTCAGAGGTCAGCATGTTTGCAACATTGTCTGCAGAAAAATTTGCTTTAAAAGTTAAAAAAAATTACTTTAAAGTTAAAAGTAATGCAACAACACATTTTGTTTTAATCTGTCTTTAAAACCAAAACAACCAGGTCATTAACAGTGCTGTAGGTTTACTTTGTAAAGCTGTAAATGTTTTACCCAGAATACTTGCACTCTCAGGACAACTGAGGCAGATGTGATTGACCTGGCATAGTAAAAAGTCTTCTCTCTTCATGGTGTATGTGTAGCTTTTAAATATTTTTCCTTAGCATGTGAGACTGCCTTTTTGAATTAATTCCTTTTGTATCTCACACAGCTGCCTAACTCCTTGCAGGCACACACACTCCCAGCCCTCCCCCAGACATCTGTTCTGATTCTCAGTGCCAGGTGCTAGAGTTTAAGCTTGTTGGGAGGAGGGACAGTGACAAAATCCTTCATAAAATCAAATAGCTGTGGTTTTTTTAACAATATTTGTGGTGTAATTTAATTTCTAATCTCTGGGTTTTTGAAAAGCACCCAGAAGGTGTTAGCCTTTACTACTGATTTTTTTCAGGTTTTATCTGGAAAAGGTCAGGCTTGGGTGGAGATTGGTTTGTTGTTGGGGTAAAGATTTTCCTCCTTTTTTTTTTTTTCCAAAGTGATGCTGTAGCATCCCAGTAGTACAGTAGTAAGAGGCCACAGCAACTGTGAACCTGTTTCTACTCTGGAATTATTTTTCCCAAATGGGAATACATCTCATTAGAAACACAACTGTACCTTCATCACTGAATTTTGATCCACAGAGGTCTTACATACCTTGCTTGTACTTGAAACACAGCTGTTCCTGAAATCTTCCAAGCATGCCCTAAAGCTGCTTTTTATGTACCAAAGTGCTCCTGTTTGGCATTTTGGGTTTGGTTGGGTTAACTTTGACAGATCAAAAAATACTGGGCTGTCAGAGCCAGGACATTTCCCTCATCAAGGAGCAGGTGAGCAGCATGAGACCATTCCCTTTCTCAGCCTGGGAACAACTGCAGTCATCTCCTCTGCTCCATGCTCTGAACTTCTCAAAAAGGGCTGTCATGGTCATCCAATTGCAGGTTTTCCCCTGAGTCCTGGTCTTATCTTAAACAAATAGAGTACAGCTGATACCCTTCTCTGCCATTCCCTGAGATCTGCCTTGGAACGTTTTCCTATCATCTTCTTGCACTCATAGTGCATCAGAGACATGGCCAGTCTGCTTCTGTTTTCTGCCTTCTCACCCAGGCACCTGGCTTCTTGTCTCCCTTTCTTCAGTGAGATAGGGAATATGTAGTGTAAGTGGTAAGCCTAGAAATGTGAAATAAATGGATTTATATCAGCGGCTGTGGTCTGGGTGGTGGAGGATGTGGTACTAAATACCCTGAGTTCTTGCTGGGTTAGGGGAAATCAGGAAAGTGGAATGAGGAGTTTAAGCTGCTCTTTCTCATTCTTTCTTTTCATCTCTCCTTAGGCATGTCTGCCACTTATTCTTGCAGTCACTGAAGGCACAGGAACTCTCTGTGGCCCTACTATTCCTGTAGAGGCTTGAGAGAAAACTCTTTCAGTGTATTTCCCAGGAGCAAAAACATCAGGAGTGGCTTGGCCACTCACAGGCCCTGGCTGAAATGAGAAGTTTCAGCTTCACAGAAATGATTTGGTGTGATAGTCTTCAGATAACACACAAAGGGCAAAATGTGTAACAAGGGGAAATATCAGTGAGCAAATTTAAGCCACATAGAGTGGAGAACGTTTTTCCATACTAATATTAAATGTGTAACACCCCCACTTTTGGTGACCAGATGTATGGATTCAAGAAGGCACTAAACAAATTCATGGATCTGTCCATCAATGGCTATGGGAAATGCAGGTCTGGAGGCAGTCTCCCAGGGTGCCATGAATCACTGATTGCTGGCAGCTCAGCAAGTCCATCAGCTTTTCTTGGGCTCTTTCTTTAAGAATTGCTGTTGATGTCTCTCACACATAACATGTTCAGCCAATGTGGGCTTCACTTTGATCTAGCAAAGCGCTTAGTGACTCTTAGGATAGAGCTGAATCAAATGGTGAAACAGCCTCACGATACTTCCTCCAGAGCTTTTAGGAGAATGATCCCATAGGCCCGTCCAATTGTTTAGTCCCGTGCCTGAGCAATCTCTGCAAGGGGAGAGCAGCCTGCCACTCCAAAACACAAAATGGGTGTCCCTAGGAGTGCTCAATAGCCAGTGCCCTATTTATATGTAGTGCAAGGTAAATATTTGGGAAGCTCGAAGATGCAAAGCTAATAGGGTTGTTACAGAGGATGGGTAACAAAAAAGGGATGGTTACTGAGAGGCATAATATCTAAGGGTTTTATGCTTTATAAAATAAGCCTGAAAAGGACAAAACTAAATAAGGAGTCACTAAGCCTTTTCTACTACAGAATTTGTCTGCCCTTGGTAATATTCCTTCCTGCCCGCATTTTTGTTTGTGCTGATAAATGTCCTTGCATTAATAAACTCATAATGCAGCTTGTTTATCCCTTCAAAGCCAGCCCTCGCAGCTTTCATTAGCATTTTAGGATATTTATGGCTTTGTAAATGACTGGAAATCTGCAATTTGTCATTAGGAATTAAGAAAAATCTTCCTTCCACTTAGGGCTGAAGCTCAGCTTTGGCCTTTGAGGGACTGAGCCACCTCTGGGCCTCATAGACAAAAACAAAGTCAGACAGTGCCCAGATTTACAACAGCAAGTGGCTCTTAGTTATTCAGATGTCTTTGATAATGTGTCATCCGCTGTTGCTGGCAGGGATCAGTGTTTAGGCTCAGAATTAATTTCTCTCTAGCTGGAGAGAAAACAAAAATATCTCTTCTGCAAGAGCAAAAAGAGAAAGATGTAGTAACAAAGAGAGAAATAAAAACAGCACCAGGCACATGTAAAAAAATGCATGTGTAGATATATGTATGTAGCATATACACACCGCAGAGGTTAACAAAGTGCTCTTCAGAAGAAAACGTTGTACTTCACTCTGCTGTGCTGTGTACTTTCAACTTTGAAATACAGGAAGTTAAGAAAATTTTAAAGGTTTCAAAAGGGAGTTTATCTTGTAATTGGTAAAGGGCTAAATAGTTGGATAGGGAGGGATAATAATCAAAGGAGCCTTTTCAGCACTAAACTGTAGTCCAGAAAATCAAAGGAAGGAATGTTAATTGGTTTGTACAACATGATATTCTCAGCTCAGAGTAGCTTCAGCCACTCAATGGTACTTTTTCTTTTTTTTCTTTCTCTCTCTCTGTAGGTTGATTGAGTGAATAGAAGAAAAAAAAAAAAAAAAAAAAAAACGAAGCTACTTTCAAGTATTGAAGATACAAAGCCAGGATGAACACGAAGGACGGAAAAGTGTCTGAAGGAGGTCTCAATGTCACTCTTACCATACGCCTTCTCATGCATGGCAAGGTGAAGCATTTCCTGTTGCCTGTGTGTTGAGTGTGTGTGCAGCTACCAGCAGAGCCTGGCACTAACGTTGACAGAGGGTCTGCTCCTCCTCCACCTTGAGTCAAAAGCACCATTGCCACAGCCAAAAAAATCACACCCTGCTTTTCAGGGAATCCTGCTGAAGTTCACGCTGCAGCCCAAGCTCATTGAAACAAACCCTGCCTGTAACGAACCCATTTTGAGCGGATCCGGCAGCAAAAAAAGAGGAATTCTTCCATTGATAGTGAGCCAAATTGGGCAGACCCTTGCAGGAGGCTGACCTGCATACAGCTCGCCTTTCTCAGCGTTTGCTGATTTTTGCAGGGCTTTTTTAGGATACCAGAACATTGACTCATGTGAAATAATTGCCACAGAGTCTATTTCTATTGAATGCAAATGGGGTCCAGTTCTTCATTATTCTGGTGTAACATCTCATCAGAGTGAGCCCCCTGATATTCCGGGGGTTTGTCCAGGTCCCGGCGGGTTTGGGTTGGAAGACTGACTCTTGTTTCCTTTCTGTCGAGTGCAGCACTTAAAGCGTGCAGATAAGTGGGAAATCGGTGCCTTAGACAAAGTGCCAGTTCAGTATTGTCAGATTTAACAGTCTGGTTGCTGCTTATTTCACATCGACAGATCATAAATTGGGCCTTTAATTAAAAAACACATTTCATAGGTTTGTTTGTATTATTTGCATCAGGCAACTCCAGGCATTTTTAGGCTTAATGATTGAATGTTATAGAAAGGAGGTAGTTTAGTCTCATCCTTAACAGGGAATAGTGAATATATTATGCTTGTTATTCTGGAGATTGAATTTATATATATAAATCTAAAAAAAAATTTTTACTCCTAGAGTTTAATTTTATAACTAAAATACTTATACATTTTAAACTAGTGGGTGTTTTCAATCTATGGTATGAACACATGTGTGATAAACCTATAGCACAAATAGGACACTAAGGTATCTCCCATTCTGTTTTACTTATGGAGAAGTGTGAGGGGGTACAGCTTAAATTTGCAAATTAAAATCCTCAGAAATTAGGTTATGTCAGATCACATTATGTTTTTTCTCAGAAATGATCTAACCATTTTGATTTTTTTTCCCCCTGAAATATTCAGCTTCAGGCAGGCATCTGGTGTGTAAATCTGCATCTTAAATAGGGATCTGTCAAACAAATTTAATAACACTCTCTCTTACAAAACCCACCTAAAATCTGTACACGTGTCTGTGCTCAAAATTAGGTCTTCAGGGTTGATTCTACTGGTTTCTGGTCCCAATCCATGAAAGCATTTGAACACTTACTTATCCCAGTGGGTATAAGCAGCCCTACTGGTTGCAGTCACATTCCCATGTGCTTAAGTGATGGTGTTTTGGGCTTTTTTAATCATTGTCAGACAGCTCTGCTTGTTTCAGAATCATGCCTTTAAAGCAAAAATGAAGTATCTGTCATTTTCAGGACATTTTATTTAAACTGTGGGCTAGGATTATTGGGATTTTTTAAAATCAGAAATGAAATCAGATAAAGTTCATTTTCTCTGTTAAACAGAATTGATTTTGTGTGCAACCACTTTTAACAATAATGGATGTTATGTGTCCAGACTTCAATGTATATGTAGCCCCAAGGGTCTAAATTAGACCCACAAAAGCTACAAAGTTCAAATTTTACCTGGATCTATACCATGCGTCCTCAGTTAACAAGGCACGATGGGTATTCTGTTAGCTCCACTATGCTCTAATCATGTATCCTATTGTGCCTAAGTATTGGAAAGAGTACATTAAATCAGAATTTATTTTGGTGATAAAAGTCAGATGCTTTTTGTTTCTTTGATGTAATTTCTGTGATTTAGAAATAATACAGAGGAACGAAGGAGGTCTGAATCAATATGAACTCAATGTGAGAAAGCATTCTGAAAGCTGTATGTGCCTCTGGAAAAGAAGAAACACATTTCTAGGCTCTTCCTTGAGATTTGTTGTGGTGATGACATCAGTGGAAATTGTTGATCTCTAATTAATATTTCTAGACAAAAGAGTTTGTCTAGAAGCAGAAGGTGGTCTGTAAATAACTGGTCATAACCTGAGAGAGGAGAAATAAAAAGGTTTTTAAAATAGCAGGAGCAAACTGGATTCAGTTATTTTTAAAGTTAAATAATTTTAATGTTATTTATTAATGCATTGCATGGAAAAATGAGGACCTCTCCCTACTAACTTTAACTCTGTATTTCTAAACCATTATTAACAGTGTACCTTTGCACAGGAAAGGCCTATGTGCTTTGTGTTGTTTGCATGCATTTTGATTGGAAATCGATAACTTGTGCTACTGTGCTTGCTTATCTTGACTGTAAGTCCTGCAGACTTAGGAAATTTTCAGCGTGTACTTTTCATGTGATTTGGTATAGAGGCTTTAAGTCAAGAATGGACATCTTAATGAGACAATTAAGGTAAATTCTATACCTGCAGAAAATGAGCGTCTGTATGAGTGGCCAAACCTCTGCAAGATGGTAATGAATAAAAAAGCCACCACAACAAACAAATCATGTGGCACAAACAAAAGACATTATCATGAGGTGAGAGGAAAAGAAATAGGAAGAGTCCTGAGCTCTGGGGGAACCAGGGCCAGTGTCTCCCCAGTGCAGGTAGGACACCACTGATCAGCACCTTTGCTTTATCTTGCTTTGGGGAAGGGAGTGTCTGTGCATCCAGCTGAGCTCCTGCCAGGCTTTTTGCAGTCTCTGGCTGAAGAGGCTGGGATAGCTCCTGGGAGCACAGCCACTCAGCCACAGCATTGCAAGGGTTGAGAGCAGCCAGCTGGCAACAAGGCAAGGCGCAGCCTTGCTATTCTCATGGCAGAAAACATGGTGTTGAGGGAGGGCAACAATTTTTTTTATCAGTGATAGTGGAAAAAGAATTTTTGCAGGCCCTGCAAAAAGCCAGCCACTGCGAGGTATGAAAGGTTAACCTCAGGGTAACCTCAGTGTTTCCAGGGCCTGGTATGAAAGGTGTCCTCCTGAGCTGGGACTTTCAGAGATTTTGTGATGATGTAAGATGAAAGGCCTAATTTTCATCTTGTGCCATCTTACATCAGTGAAAAAGTTACGATGGTGTTACAGCCCTGAAGAGAAATCATGAGCAACACAAAACATTTGTCACATTTTCTTGTGATGAATTAGAGGGCAGGTGTTGGTGAGGATGCTGCAAGGGCAGTGCTTAGGCATTCCTTGCATCCACAGAGAAGCAAGTTTCAATGTAGGAAATCTCAAAAGCAAGATTAAGAAAAACTTGTTACGAGGACGTGTCAGGAGGGGAGGAGGCTGCCTGGGCGTTCTGCACCATCCATCACTGAAGGTTTCTAAGGACAAGGCAGACAATTCATCCTGTAAAGCTGCACTTCACAGGCACTGCAGCCTCTGCTGCTCAGCACCTTTCCGACCAAGTTACCTGAATGCTGCTCCAGAGGGGTCAGAAACAGAAGAGTCTTTTGAAGGACATGCAGCTAGAAATATAGAATATGTTAAATAATGCAGATACTCATTTTCATCCTTTATTAATGAGAAAGATGCACCACATTAAGAAATAAAGCTGTTTCATACATTTCAGTAGAGAAAAACAGAGAATATGAGTTGAGGCTGTTTACAGTGCCTTACTTTTGTATTTTCCTTCTGATTCTTGCTGTTTCTTGAAGTAAAAGAAGTAAAATCACTGTGTAGGAAAGAGACGTGAATGAATATGGATATTTTATTATCTTTGTCTACTTCAAAACTATAATTTCTGGGCAAGATTGGAGTATTGTAGGGATTGCAAGATTTCTGCTTCCAGCACAGACAAGAATAGCAATATTTGCCCAGACTACATCACTGGTTTTGAAGGGCGTAAGGGAGACGAATGAAGTGTGTGTGCGTTCACAGGCAAACAGCCCCCAGCCATCAGAGCCTTCTGTATGGAGAGGCAGAGCTCAGGCCCCAAAAGAACTGTATCTTTTACTTTTTCTTCCTTTCTAAATTTTTGTCAAGATAAAAATTATTTCGGCTCTTTGCATATCATATGATATAGGTGTAGACCTCCATGTTTCTTACCATTCCTTGCTCATCTTTTGCTGAATATTCTATTTCCATGACTTGTGGCTGATTTTTCCTTGCTTACTGCCTCAGGTAATGAAGTTGAAAGACTGGAAATTGTAGCCTTGCCCACAGGTATCTGCCAACATATGTTAGCACTTGACATCTGCAGTGGTCTTGAACTAGGTTTGGTCAGTTCATGCCCAGAAAGAAATAACTGTTGATAAAGCATCTATTTGGACTATATTGGATAATGATTACATGATTTTGGACTAGTTTGGTTTTGTACACAGCCAGTGTTAACAGGCTGATTAAGACTCTGGAGACTCAGCATTAAAGTTTAATTTTAGATGTGGATGGTAAAGAGACTGTGGCAGTAGAAAGGTCTTAAATCTCAGGAAAGCAGCTTAATGGAGATTTAAAAGCCAGGTCCATGAGGTGGAACAGGAGTAAATATTCAAATGGGCCAGCATAGAAAGGGCGGCAGGTCACAAATCCACTGTGAGATCCACCTCCATCTCAGAGTGGTGGTGCAAGAATCTCTGCTTCCTCCCTCCAGTACAAACCTGCAGGAGCAATAATGCATTGTTTCCAAAGGCACTGTGTGAATGTGTGCATTGATGAAATCATATTGGGTGCAGTGAAGTCTGCAAGAAACCAAAGTAGAATATAGTAATGTATTGAGCCTGAGGAATCTTTTAGAGAAAGGGAATGGAGTTCAGCAATAAAAACCAAAATGGATTAATGAAGTTGGATGGTTAGGAAGAACAAGGAAATAATTTACAGGTAGGATGAAGGAGTGAGAGGAAAACTGGCAGGAAAGTAGGACTCTTGCCAAATACTGAGAGCTGTAAATTGGAGAGTTGAGGCAATTAACTGGAGAAGGTAATTTAGAAGATACATGTTCAGTGACAGAGGGAAATCTGGAAAGC